TTCAACCATGGGCTTTCAACCATGGCTAGAGCTTCTACTAGAAGCTTCAGCCATGGCTTCAACTGAGCTCAACCATAGACTTCAACCAGGGGCTTTCAACCRTGGCTTCTATTTAAATAGGAAAAAAAAGAAACCCAGTCCCTTATGGCTTCAGCCATGAGTTCCAACCACGAGCTCCAACCATGGGCTTTCAACCATGGGCTTTCAACCATGGCTAGAGCTTCAACTACAAGCTTCAACTAGAAGCTTCAGCCATGGCTTCCACCATGAGCTCAACCATGGGCTTTCCACCATGGCTAGAGCTTCAACTAGAAGCTTCAGCCATGGCTTCAACTATGAGCTCAACCAGGGTCTTTCAACCAGGGGCTTCTATTTAGATGGTAAAAAAGAAGCCCGGTCCATTATGGACAGCATAAAAATACATCGTGCTAACATTCAAAACCCGGGCATTGCAGCTGACAACATTCCAGCCAAACCCACGTTAAAAAGGGAAGCATTTGGGAGCGGGAACCCTCCTTCCACAGACCCTCCGTCCCCGGAGGGCCTCCCTCGCCCTTCCCGCGCCCACGCGGCCGCTGTCCCCGCAGGTTCGACGACAAGTACACGCTGAAGGTGACGTTCATCAGCGGCCGGAGCCGGCAGCGGCGCGAGGCCGAGTTCACGCGCTCCGTCGCCAAGTTCTTCGACGCCAACGGCACCCTCGTCATGGAGGCCTACGAGCCCGAGGTGTCGCGCCTGCACGACAGCCTGGCCCTGGAGCGCAAGACCAAATGAGCGGCGTTAATTAACGCTAATAAAGCGCCCAAAGGGGCGGAGCCTTGCGGGATCTGTGGGGGGAGGGGCAAGGGGGGGSGGGGCTGCGAGGCGGAAGCGGCTGCGGAGGCTGCGCCGGGAGCGGGACTAGGACTAGGACCAGGACTAGGATCGGGATCGGGACCAGGATCGGGATCGGGACCGGGTTCGGGATCAGCAAGGGCTGGCGCCGCCGGTAGGAGCGCGGGAAGGGAGCGGGGGATCCCCGGGGTGTCGCCGGGGCCCCCCTGTCCCCGTCCCGCTCCTCGCTGTCTCCCAGGGTGTCCCCGTTTCCCCTCCTTCGCCTCAGGGTGTCCCCAGGCTCCGTCCCGATCCTGATCCACAGGGTGTCCTCATCCTCAGTCCCGGTTCCCAGGGTGTCTCCGTTTCCTGTCCCCCACCTCAGGGTGTCCCCATCCGCAGTCGCTATCCTGGTCCCCAGGGTGTCCCCATCCCCAGTGTTTTCACCCTGTCCATGTTCCTGGGGTGTCCCCTTTCCTGTCCCCAGGGTGTCCCCCATCCTCAGTCGCTATCCTGGTYCCCAGGGTGTCCCTGTTCCTGTCCCTCACCTCAAAGTGTCCCAATCCTCAGTGCTTGTCCTGATCCCTAGGGTTTCCCCATCCTCAGTCCCTATCCTGGTCCCCAACGTTGTCTCCAGGGTGTCCCCATCCTCGGTGYCCATCCAGGTCCCCAGAGTGTCCCCAGCCCTGTCCCTCAGGGTGCCCCCATTCCCAATGTGTTCCCTTCTCCATCCCTGTTCCTGAAGTGTCCCCATCCCCATCCCAGACCCCAGAGTGTCCCCCTGGGTGTCGCTCTCCCCCGGATATCCCTCTCCCCATTCCTGGTCCTCAGCGTGTTCCTGTCCCCAGGGCGTCCCCATCCATGTCCCTGATCTCAGAGTGTCCCCTTCCCAGTCCCTATCCTGGTCCTGCAGTGTCCCCATCCCCAGTGTGTTCCCATCTCCTTCCCTGTTCCTGACGTGTCCCTACTTCCGTCCCAGTCCTCACAGTGTCCCCATCCTCAGTCCCTGTCGTGGTCCCCAGCGTGTYCCCACCGCTGTCCCTCAGAGTGCTCCCATCCCCAGTGTATTCCCGTTTCCAAACCTGTATCTGACGTGTCCCCATTCCCATCCCAATCCCTGAAGTGTCCCTTGCAGGGGGACACTAGGGGGACCAGTCCTGGTCCCTAGGGTGTCCCCAGGGTGTCCTCATCTTCAGGGGTGTTCTCATCCCTGGTCCCAGGGTGTTCTCATCCCAATCCCTGTCCCAGAGGTCCCATTCCTGTCCTCAGTGTTTCCCATTCCTCTCCCCATCCAAATCCCAGTGTGTCCCCATCCTGATCACTTTCCCTGTGTGTCCCCCTCCCCATCTATATCCCCAGGGCTTCCCTATCYGTGTCCCCATCCCTGTGCACAGGGTGCCCCTATCTCCATCCCAAGGGGACACATCCCCATCCCAGTCTCCAGGGTATCCCAGTCCCCTGAGTGGCTGGAGGCGCTTTGGGGACACAAGGCAGACAGGACACGGTCACTCAGGACGCACCGTCTCCGTATTCCCCATTCCCATCAGGCGGCTCAGGCCGCGGGGACAGGGATGGCGCCGGAGCCCCCCGGCAGCCCCCGCCGGGAGACGCTTTTCCGGCAGGACGCGGCCACGGGCGTCACGTTCCGCATCCCGGCGCTGCTCTACCTGCCGCGCGCCGCCACCTTCCTGGCGTTCGCCGAGAAGCGCGCGAGCGCCCGCGACGAGGACGCCGAGCACCTGGTGCTGCGCCGGGGCCGGCGCCGCGGCCGCGCCGTGCAGGTGACGCCCGCGCTTCCCGCCTTCCCGCTTCCCGGCCGTGCCGCCTTCCTGCCATTCCCGGCGATGCCTTCCTGCCATTCTCGCATCCCGGCCGTGCTGCCTTCCTGCCATTCCCGCATCCCAACCACGCCGCCTTCCCGCCATTCCCACATCCCGGCCGTGCCACCTTCCTGCCATTCCCGCATCCCGATAATGCCTTCCCACGCTCTTCCCGCCATTCGCGCATTCCGACTGCGCCGCCTTCCTGCCTTCCCCACATCCCAGCCGTGCCGCCTTCCTGCCATTCCTGCATCCCAGCGATACCTTCCCACGCCCTTCCCGCCCTTCCCGCCATTCCCGCATCCCGGCCACACCGCCTTCCCGCCATGCCCGCATCCCAGCGGTGCCTTCCCGCCATTCCCACATTCCCTCCTGCCACACCACCTTCCCGCATCCCAGCCACACCACCTTTCTGCCATTCCYGCATCCCGTCCACAGTGCCTTCCCACCATTCCCGCATCCCGACAATGCCTTCCCACGCTCTTCCTGCCATTCCCGCATCCCAGCCGCGCCATCGGCTTGGCGGGATCGCTATTTGGTCGGTGCCGGCATTCCTGTATCCCAAGGGCATGATTCCCATGGGTTGGTGGCGCCATTCCTGCATCCCAATAGTGGGATTCCGAGGGGCTGAGTGGGATGATTCCCAGGGACTGAGGACATGATCCCTGCATCCCAGTGGCATGATTCCCATGGGTGAATTGCCGTGATCCTTGCGGGTCTGTGGTGGTTCCCACATCCCGGTGGTGAATCCCGTGCTGTGGGGAGCGTGATTCCCACATCCTGCTGGCACGGCTCACGTGGCGGGACTGGCGTCATTCCCGCAGGCCACATGACATGATTCCCATGGGCCGGCTGTGTAACAGGGGGTGATTCCCATAGGCCGGGTGGCAAGATTCCCGCATCCCAGGGGCATGATTCCCACCAGTTTGTGGCATAGTTCCCGCATCCCAGGATATGATTTTTATGGTCCGTTAGCATAATTTCCACATGCCAGGGGCATGATTCCCAGTGGTCCGTGGCATAATTCCCACATCCTAGGGGTGTGATTCCCACCGGTCTGCAGCATAATTCCCGCATCCTGGGGTGTGTTTCCCATGGTCCAGGTGTGGTGATTCCCATTGCCCATTAGCATAATTCCC